ATTCCACTGTTCGATTCGTCATCGTGTGCGCAACGATCGCTGCGATGGACGCGATCGCGACGTTGTCGGATTTTGCGCACGTCGCATTCGCGGCATCGTCGATATTCGCGACGTTGACCGGTGCGCCGTCGCGCGTCGCGTGTCGCCAAAGAGAGACGTTCGCTCGTTGTCGTCGAGACGAAACTGTCGCAACGAAATCGCGAACGAGACGCGCGAACTGATGACGTCACGAGACTGCGCGCCGACGACGTGTCGTTCGATTGGATACACCTGTTCGAATTGAGTCCGTCGTTCGTGGAACTTTACGTGCGCATCTGCGCGATGGCGGAATCGCGCGCTCTCGACGACGATGGTACCGGAAGGATGAACGATATCGCGACGTAAGGGAGAAGATACGATCACGGAAGGAGGATCACCGCCGTTGTGCCGGCGAAGAACTGGACGGTCATTTGGTTTTGTGGCGCGAAGCCGATCGTTTTATTTCGTCACTGTACAAACGATGGTTCGCCTCTCGTCTGACGCGTTATCGCGAACGCAAATCGATCGTTTTTGCGAGCGATCTCGTCGAGCGCCGTCGTTGCCGCGGTCGCCTCGAATCGCCACTACTGCTACGGTTACTACGCACGCGTACGTTCTCGTACGCATGGATACCGATCGCTGAGTAACGCGATTTCGCCGTTACACCGACGGTTGCACGTGCGCGGAGGATCGCACGTAGAACGACGCTGCCATTGCGATCGCGCATGCCAGAAATTCGCCATCGTCACGCGCGCGTTTGCGCACAATGTCTCGTTGGTCGCTCAGAGACACAAGCCGTAGTAGATCGCGACGCTCAGTGCGAACTGCGTGAGCATCGCGATCCAGACCAGCGTCAGTTTCACCACGGGATAAATCGTCACCACCTCGACGTATCGGCGAGATCGACGCGATTACGGCAAGCGCTCGTCGTCATCGTCCTCCGGTTCCGAGTCAACAACGGACGATTCGTCGCCGAGTGACGACCGACGGTCCTCGTCGTCGTCGTCGTCGTCCTCGTCGTCGTCGTCTCTTCGGTCGTTTCGCGATTCTTCGCGATTAGCGATCGAGCGAAAGCGCGATTCTCTATGTGTTCTACATGCTCGCGTGTACGGGCAAACGCCTGTCCGACGTCGCGGAAATCACGATCGCACAGTTACGTCAGTTGCGCGATCGCGGAGTGTGCGTCATAAAGATACACAAAACGCGCAAACTCGGGCGAATCGAGATCCCGGAGCTGTTGCTGCGAGATCGTCGCGGCGAGCGATCGCTGCTGACCGAGGAGAATGAGGGTGCCGTTCAGGCGAGTCGCTCCGTCAATCGCGAGGACGACCATCGACGACGAACCGACGTCACCGATGAGCACGCTGTACAATCGTGTCTCGACGCGTTCGTGGCTTGGGTCGAGATCGACGGCTCACTGTCGATTCCGTTCAGCGTGCGAACGCTGCGACGAGATCTCAATCGCGAACTAGCCCGATTCTACAACGCGGCCGTCGGTCGCTCGAAACCGCGCGGCTTGAGTTTCCACGCGTTGCGTCGCATCTACGCCGGCTATCGATTTCTGCATGGTGCGTCGATCGAGCGTCTGCGCGAGAATCTCGATCACTGTGATTGACGACAAACGAATCGCTACGTGAACGCATGTCTGTACGAAATCGTCAACAGCGCCGTTTAAGGGGTAGATCGCGCGTGGTACGAATTCAGCGGCGAGCACCGAGCGTTCGACCTGGACGACGCTTCTTCAATAAGCAACAACCGGAGTGTCGCGATCTCTCTCTCTTTCCACCGGAGGACAGACCGCACGTCGCGCGTCTCTCCGAGACGTCGAAGACAGCGCTCTCGTCGCGACCATGATGAGCGAGAGCGCGACGTCCATGCTCGACAGCGCGAATTCGTCGTCAGCGACGAACGACGATTTCTTGAATTCGTTGTTGGTGCAATCGCAGTTCCGACGCATTCTCACGGACGCGTCGCTACCGTAGATAACGACGTCGTCGCTCGAACGAACGGGCTCGACCGACTCGCCGTCGCATCGCGATCGAGGCGATCGATCGTCCGTGAGAACGATGTCGACGGTGACTGATCGACAATGAGGCGGCGACTGTAGCACGGTCGTTAGCATTCCCGCGAGTTTGGCCGCGACACCGACACCACCCGATGCCACCATCGGCTCGATAACGGAACCCGCGAAGCTCGTGAATCGCGGCGGCGGCGGCAGCGGCGGCGGCGGCGGTGGCGGCGGCAAGAAACTGAACCTGCCCGGATCGTCGGCGAAAAAGAGACCGCGACAACGCAGCGCCGCGCCATCGTCGTCGTCGAGTCAAACGACTAAGAAGATCAGATTCGCATCGATGGAGGCCAAGGTCGTGGATGACGCGACTCGGACCGCGATGTCGGCTCGAACGCGCGTCAGTTTCGTATCGGAGAGAATGTTGACTCGTCTGATCGAAGTGCAGCATGAATGGGACGAGGCTCGCGGCGACAAGAGACTGTCGCGAAGATTGCGACTGTTCGTCGAATCGCGCGTCGCCGCGTTGCGATTGATCTGCCGCGGCAACGTCCGTCGTTCGATCCGATCGACTAGGTACAATCGCTCGCCGATCCTCTGTCGCAAATGACGTTTCTCGAGGATTGCGGCGACGATGGCAAACGACGCAGGCGACGAACAGATCGCGACGGAACCTCTGCGCTCGACAACGAGTACGACAGGGGCGAACTGCCGTACAGAGCGTACAGTCTGCGTCACCTCGTTCGCCTGAACTGCTTCGTGCCGTCCACCGACACCAGACATTCGCGCGGTCGTTGCAACGACCGCGCGAATGTCTGGTGCTGCTGAACGTCAAGGTGTTCGAAGCGATCGCGAACGTGTTGGCGTACGCGCTCATGTCGGTGATTCGACGCGGCGGCGCATCGCCGGGCTCACGTCACGGTCCAAGGACGTCATCACCGCGGCCGAACATTTGTACAGTGTGAGACTGATCGTGCCCATCGACAACGAGGGTCAGCGTGCGAGGAACGAAATAGGTTCGAGTGTGAGCGCGAGCGCGGTGGACAATGTGACGTTCACGCGGCTCTCGCACCTGCACTCACGGATCAACAAGCAACTGGAGAACCACCTGGTCAGTTTAAAGGACACGAGGACCATAATCGAGAAGATGCGCGACGTCGTTGAATCTCGAGAACGAACGAGAACGAACGGCGAACCCTCGGCCGCGCGAACGCTGCCGCGACGACCGTTTCGAGTGTCAAAGCAGCCCGCTCGTCTGCAAGACTTCGTGCTGCCGAAATAACGTGACGAATGACGCTCGTTCGCGCGGGGACGAAGGATCGCTTGTGCGTTTCCGCCGCTCGCGCTGACACGCCCGTGGTCGACGTGGACGGTGCGACGGCGACGAACGCGCTGCGATACCTCGTAGGGTGCAAACGTCGCGTCGCGTGTCGCGCGAGTGACGACGACGCTCGCAGCGGCGACTCGAGTCACCGTCGTCGACGATGTGAAAGCGACGCGACTCGGTACGCTCGCGCGACGAGCGTTGCGGATCGCGACAACGCGATCGCGACAGCGATATCGCTGTCGTCCATAGAATCGCTCGGCTGCGTGGCGTGTCGAACGGCGCCTCGAGAAAGCGAACCCGCGACGAACACGGAGTCTGTCGCGACGATGCGACGCGTGACCATCAGCGACGTCGCGTTCGCTCCGCCCTACGAGTACTGCAGCGTCGCCATGTACAATCAACTGCGCTTCGACAACGACGTGGACAAGATATTGACCGACAAAGGCGGCACCGTCAAGAATATTTTACAGTCCAGCAAGAGCTTCGTCCATTATCTCGTTACGTATCCACTGAGGAACACGTTTCGCGGTTACATCCAGATTTCGCCGTATCTGGCACCGCGGCATAGCGCTGCCGTTTCATCACGCGGTCAGACTGTTCTCGATCGACGTGGAGCGCGATCGACGACATTTGCGATTTCGCCGCGAATCGAACGATTGTTCGCGCGCGACCACCAACGGCGCGGTCGATGGCGAGTTCGACGTCGCTGACGACGAGATCTGGCCGGACGCGAGATGCGCGTTCCACTTCGACGTTGCTCCAAATTTCGGTCTCGTGCTGAAACGCGACCCTTGCATACACAACGGCAGTGCGATCGGTGTCGAGCGAGTGTACGTCTACGAGCGCGGATTGGAACACAACGACTCCGTTCACATATCGCCGCTCGTGCTGAAGCATCTGAACGCCGATCTCGACGGCGACGCTGTTACGATCATGATTCTGAGAGGCATCGAGTCGGCGTATGAATCGCAACGAGTTCTGCGCGATCCGTTTCTCTTCGGTGACATTCCGCGATTCACGTTTTGCCAAAGCATGCACTTTTGGACGTTTCGCGTGTTGGCGTTCGACGACGCGCGCGACGAAACGCGCGCCGTGGTCGAACTCGCGACTGAACGAGTCTCGCGCGGACGAACGTTCGGTCGCAGCACAGACGATGTATCGCCGTGCGAAGCGAGCTCTCTGTTGCACGCGAGACTGAACATTTGGCGTTCGCGCGCCGCTCGACGACGGGCTCGCGCTCTCTTCGCTCCCTGGTACGACGATTACGCGCACGTAATATCGGATATCTGACGACGACCGATCGACAAAGAAGCGAGGAGACATGATTCCAGGAACACTCGCGACTGCGAAGGCACCGAAGAATGGTGGCGCAAATCCGTGTGGCGATAATGTCCCGTGCTGGATCTGGTCTTCGTGCGCGCGGTTTGCACTCGCGGCAGCGACGACGGCGAGGCCTTTATTCAACGAGTGAGACACGTTTTGTTCCGACGCTCAATCGATGCGCCCGATCGAACGATCGTTATCTCGGACAAAAACGCTCTTTGTCTGGAGAACTGGCTCGTCGTTCACTCGGATGTAAAGGGCACTCCGCGCGATCTCGTGTCACTGCACAAGCGCACCGCGGCCAACGTGGCACATGCGGCCGCGCCGCAGTCGGACTTCTTTCGCGAATGCTCGCCCGACCAGGAAGCCGCGTATCTGCGATACTTCGACGATTTTGTGATCGTAAGCAAACACGTGCCCAAGAGCTCGTACTTCGCGAGCGGCCTAAAATGGGCGACGCAGATGTGCACCGTAGCGCACGGTGACCTGTACATGCGAGATTCGTTGTTACCGCGCGATGTGGCGTATTATCTGAAAGGCACCATCGACGCGCCCGCTTCGTCGACGACGTTCGACGACGAGTCGCGAGATCGGAAACGAGGTGAATGAAATAAAACGTAAACGAGGAAAAAAAAACAGTCTCTTTATTTCTCGTTCCACGACAATCCCCTTCTCCCGCGCGACGACGATCCAGTCCTCTCCTCCGAATCGTCTCGTTTCGTCTGCGGCATCGCTCGATCGGGCGAGTACGGAACGCTCGGTACGCTCCAGATTTCGAATGAATGGTACGAACTCGACTCGTTGATCGAGAATCGCAATAATCTCGAGTGTTGCTCAACGTGCTCGAAATCAGTTCAACGACGTCCCGTGGTTCAGCGAACACGCTCGATCGAGAATGTTTCTTGCCGGCCGTGTACACCTTGGCGTCTCTCAGCGAATCGCGAATCAAACGTCTGCGCGTGCAATGCGGACAAACGAGCTGTCGCTTCGCTCTTTCGAGTCGATACTCGGCCAGCGCTTTCGCTGCGCACGACTCTTGTTATCATCGTCGATGGAATCAGCTCCGCATCCTGCCGGTCAATAGCGTTCATCGCGCCTCGTATTTTTTTTCCTCTTACATTCTTAGCGCTAATAATGTGGAGAAAAGGTGGTAACGAACGAAAACAGAGATCTATTCAAAGTTCGCTTTATTGTTGGAGAGCATAAAAGACAATTTTTCTACCTCTAGTGATCGTCGCAAGTTAGAACTATGACGATGCTTGTTGCGGTCATACCACATTCACATAGTAACAAAAGCACCGATAAAACGGAGGCAAAATTTGCGCCAACCAGTACATCACGATTTCGGGCCAACCATCGATTCGCGGCACGATCGGTTCTCGCAAACCAAAGTTGCAGAAATGGTCGCGCAGTTTAGCAGCTATTTCGGTTAACGCTCTCATTACATCGTCAATAGCCGAGGTATTTACATCGATTCGTCGCCACAACGAAGGATCCGAACGCATCGTCATGTTAAAATCGAGCGAATTGTTCTCAAATTGACGAGTAGTCGGATGATTACCGTGTCTTTTTCTAGGCAAATGTAGCACGGGAACGATCATTTCCCGTATGACGGCTCGTTTCACATACGCCGGTGTCAAATGCACATATGAAGAATCGACGGTGTAACGTCGCAAAGTACGCCAACGCCGTGCGCTCACAGCCAACTCGGGAATCACTCGTTCGGCGATACGATCGATCGTGCAATCGAAACAAGGTTGATGATCGCCGACCGATTCTTCCTCCTCATCATCCGTCTCTGAACGATTGCCATTGTTCAACACATTATTGTTGACAATAGTGCGCGATACGATCTCACGAAACCACAATGGACCTTTGGACGATGACGCGACAGTATTGTCGTCAAAATCGGAAATAACTTTTATCGTGATACGAAAGTGATCGCACAGCATCGGCATGATTCGTGCGAGCCAGTATACCACCTCGCACCATCGTCCACAATTCGACACGTTGACGGAACTCCAACAATTCAAATAGCAGCATCGATCTTCAGCGAATATATCCATCAGAGCGTTAATTACTAAACGCGTCAATTCGAGATCGCGTCTTCTTGTCGTTGAGTCGTCGTTACTACAATCGTCATCGTTGTTCCTCGCTGCCTCGTAATCTTCGTAAAACACAACGGATGGACGCAATATCACGTCTCGGTAACAAAGCCACGAATATCGCCGTTTCTTTTCGATATCGTTGCAATACGATGTAGTCGCAAGCAAACGATCGGCCAGCGTTTCACCTATCCGACGCGGACGGTAAAACGATAAAACCGCCGGAATGATTTCGCCGTGACGACTCGAAGTGACAACAGTATCGATGTGTCGTGCGACATCAGCCAACGTATTGCGCACAAAATAACGTCATACGCAATACGGACAATTTGTCTCGGTGTCCATATCGTCACGGCGTGGTATTAACGATATGTCGTACGAATCGTATGTGCGTGTTCACTCACCGAATCAACCACTATTTATTCAAAATGTACATCGTCGAAGATAGATAGTAGGATAGACAGCAACGAATTGCAAATCGAGATTCGTCATCTCGCATTATTGTCAATGACCCCGACGACGATCGACTCGTCCGCGAGATCGCTCGTATTCTCTTCTTCGATCAATATCTGCTTCGTGGCGCCGTTGACGCTATCGCTGTTCGTCGAACCACCGTCACCAACCAATCGGATCACCGGTTACTTCGGTGCTCTTGGTCGAATCGGTGTAACGATGGGCGACGCAGATGTGCACCGTAACGCACGATGACCTATACATGCGAGATTCGTCGTTACCGCGCGATGTGGCGTATTATCCGAAAGGCACCGTCGACGCGCCCGCCTCGTCGACGGCGTTTGACGACGAGTCGCGAGATTGGAAACGAGATTAATGAAATAAAATGCAAACGAGGACAAAAAAAACAATCTCTTTACTTTTCGTTCCTCGACAATCCCCTTCTCCCGCGCGACGACGATCCAGTCCTCTCCTCCGAATCGTCTCGTTTCGTTTCGTCGCGGCATCGCTCAATCGGGCGAGTACGGAACGCTTGGTGCGCTCCAGATTTCGAATGAATCGTACGAACTCGACTCGTTGGTCCATCGGCGCGATCCCGAACAGATCGCAATAGCCGGACGAACGTCCGGCAGCATCGGATGCAGCCGACGCAACTGTCGTCGATGTATCTCGATCTCACCGTTGCACCGACGACGCGCCACCGGCGAGGACGTTGCGAGCAAATTGGAGTATCTCGTCAATTTGACGTACCAACGATCGTCGCGATGCGTTGTTTTCGACGAGATCCGATCCAACGGCGCGCCGTTCGTTCGCTCGTCGCGGTCCGCACCGACGACAGGTTCGTCGTACCACGTGGAGACGGTGAACACCGTGGTAGGATTCCGCCATCTCCCTCGGTGCGCCCTCGGTCGCTTCTCTCTCTCTCTCTCTCTCCCTTTCTCTCGATTCGAGCGTGACGTTGAATCGCGAGCGACGGTATATATACGCGACGACACGTTCGAACCGAGCGTTGTCGGAGCACGGTCGAATCTGTACTCGCGCGACATGTCGACGCTGCGATCGACCGCGCGCTCC